ATCCGCGATGAACGCCACCAAACAGTGAAATTCCCGTTCCGCTTCGAGACATGTCCAACTCCAGCAGGTAAAGATAAGTTAGACGAAGAATATATTAAACTGCCTACCAGAAAATTAGTAAATAATTAATCATTTAATTAATAGGCGCGGATACTATATTATATTTATGGTATAAAAATATTATATATCTGAGGGATGAGAAGAATATCAACGGATACCAGATTATAAAAATACAGTTATGGTTCTAACTGCGAGTTATATCAAATAGAATATTTAGAGATGTAGTCATCAGCTCAGTCATAAAGCCGGTCTGAACGTCTAGTAAATTGGGCGGATTGTGATTTGTGATTTATACCTATTTAAATCATAATATCATTGAGTATAATGCATATACTATATATTACTCAATGTATAACTACTATGTATGTATGAGTATGCTATACACGTGAATGCGCAAAACACGAGATCTTAATGTTTTATACTTGTTTGAAAGAAACAAATACTGATAACATCGAAACGATACCTACGGTTTATATCATTGTTATTATTAAATATAAATCATATGTTACAGACATTTTTTTCGCTGATCGTAACTATTTATTGCGAATTGCGTTGATGTTAACAATTTTATAATAAGTAGGTATATCTAAACTTATTGTAATTACTAATTACGTACGTATTTATATTTGTTTTTTATAACTCGCTTAAAAATGTATTTAAATATACCAAGAAGCATTGTTTTTATGATCATATTAAGTCAAAGTATGTGTATTTTTAGTTTGTTTATAAAACAAAAACATAATGCATCAGCTACATATTGAACAAATTTATAAAAAAATATATCTAAAAGCGGCTATAGTGCTATACCTACTAACTACTAAAACCTAATAAAATATAAATCACAAACACATCATGTTATTTGAATTATCCGTTTTGTTTCAGTGTATTTAAGTAATATTTTATAAATTTTACTCTATTGTAAAATCAATAACGTTTTGGAATTTATTATTAATATATCAAATACATAAAATTATAAAAACCAATATTAAATAACTTCACAAAAATATTTATTTTTGATAATCATTATTCAATAATATTGATAGATATTATATAATATATTAATATGTATAGAATAAACAATTTAATAATATAATATGCAAATTACTCGTATATCACATATGCTATCTTTAACAATAATTTGAAATTATTATTGTCGATTGTAAGGACGATAAATTTTATACTTCGGGTAAACAACAGACACTGCTTATACTATACGCAACATAGCATGCGCCTAACAAATTATTTGGACTGGTACTACAATGATTTACGTTTTCAATTATAAAATGGACGGCTATACATATTGACTTGCAACGGTTTTCAGTTCTTGCGGCTTTGTTTGAATCGCCGAAATGGACGGTATCTTGATCTCGATTTTACAGATCGTCTCTGTATCATCATGAAATAATATAATGTCTTTTTTAGTACAACCATTGATGTCCTAGCTAATTTTCTCTTTATGGGAGTTTGGTCTACTTGGCTTGGTAAAAACCAACAAGACTGCCGGTTCCTTTTTGTCAGTGATTCCAGACATTGTACCTACGATCGGAGTGTGGTTTTTTCCAGCGGACCAGCTAAATCATCGGTTTCGACGTCAATTTTTGCCAGTTGTTTTGAGTGGGCCCAGCCCATTGAAGTGCACGGCGTTTTGCTACAAGATTCAGATACCATAACTGCTACATTAGATATCTTTTAAATGGACCAACATAAGCATAGTTTGCCAAGTCTAGTCCGAGCAAGAATTTTGACCCGTTTTAGTTTGGACCGATAAAGGTAATGTGACAATATGCAATTTCTTATTGATAGTACCTACCTTATAAATTATAATAAATTTTTTGTTTTGATGATGGTTTTAATAATTATTGATATATCTTAGTTTGTAAATTATTAAATTGTATATAGAGCTACAAATTGGCAATATAAAAGAGTTATTGTTGTAAACAAATTAAAAATAAAAACAAATTTAAATTGTAATATTAATTTAAAGAAATCTTTTTTGAACTCATTTATTCCATTAAAAATTTAATTTTAAGAAATTAATTCATTTTATGTATTATTCCATTTAAATATTTGATTGCAATATATAAAAAAAAAATTATGACATTAAAACGATCAGTTTGATATTTTATTTAATAGAATTATTAATGTTATAATAATACATAATATATAATATATGTATTATAAAATTTAACTATGATTAATAATTCTTATTGAGTATAATGATTTATAAACTTTACATTTATTATGTCATAGATTAAAGCAGATTATGCTGAACAAACAGTAGCAATAAGTAACTATCCACTATCAGCCGCTCTGACGTGCACTAAGATATGTTCAGCTTTCGAAGACAGTTGGGGTATATTGTAAAAGTGTATACATCATTACTATTTTTTTTTTTTTATTCTTTTAAATTGTTTTGTATTCATTATCCTAATCAAAAGTATCAACTTGAAGAAAAGTTTTAAATTGGTATTATAAGAAATAACCAAGTAAATATAACTATAAGATTTGTATTTAAAACTAATTTGAAAATGAGTACAATTCGGAATTACTCGTAAAAACAAAATATCAAAATCTACTGAACTGGTTGAAATTTAAATGCTGAACATGTATGAAAATCTCTTTGAAGTTTATTATACTGTGTAATTATTTTCAAACATATTAGTTATTATATTATGTAATCTCTTGAATTTAAATAGCTGTAAATTTATTGATTGACAGCAAGTCCATAACTTTATAAAAATCACCCAATTTTAGAATTTTTGTAGTTAATCAGTGTTTTAAAAATAATCTGGTACACATGTTTAAACACATTTTTGTATCAAATAGGTGTGTATAATATTTATCATTCAATACAAATTAATACACATTTATCATTTTCATAGATTGATTTTTGACAAAAACATTATTTTATACTAAAAATAATGTATAATATGTAAATAGCTGTATTGACAACACACAACAATACTAAAACTTACAGTTTTCTTAATCATAATGTGCCATGTTCATAAAGGATGTTTGATAATTGTACAAAAATAGCTAATTATTAAGTTAATATTTATTTGATTATATTACTTGAAAATTAATAGGAAATACGATTTCTCATCTATTTTTTGTATTTCATGGTTAAATAAGTAGTAAATGCAAAAGACAATCTTAGACTCTTTTTGCTGGTGATTATATAATCCAAAAAATGTGCATTCAAAAATTATATATAAATACATTATTACATATCTAAATGTTTATCATACTTTATAATTAGTTTCCCTCATTTAATAATAATCTAAATTAAATGAATCTAAAAGCTAATTAACTATCTTATATTAATTGTATACACCCAATAATAAGTTGTTACAGAAAGTAGTGCCCGAAAATAATATGTTAATTAAAAATTGATGAATTGATACACTTATAAATTGAATTTTTTTTTTCATAATTCAGCTCAACGTTTATTATCAATATAAGACGTCAATCGGCCAGTTGATATCAAATTCTTGTAAAACTCATATGATGCTTTTGGTGTACGAGTTCTTTGAGGATCATTAAAATCTATCTTAACAAGTCCAAAATGAATTCTGAAAAAACAAAACAATTTATCCAACATTGAAAAATAGTATTTTAATATATTTTAGCATTAAATACTATAATATATTCTATATTTGAATTTAAATATTTAATCCTCCATATTTGTTATAGATCTAAAGAAATATTTTTAATTGACAAATATAAAACAACTTACGAAAAACCATACATCCATTCAAAATTATCTAACAATGACCATATAGAATAACCTATAACATTGCATTTATCTTCATGTATTGCTTGTAACGTAGCATTTAAATAGCCCTATTAAAAAAAAAAAAAAAAAAAAAATTGAAACATATAATTAGATATTATCAAAGTAAATCATTACCGTTAAGTAGTTAATTCTATCTAAATCATCTAATTGACCATTGTCCGCAAATCCATTTTCTGTTATAATCAAAGGAGGATTTCCATATTCATTTTTTAACCATATTAAAAGTTGTCTTAATCCATCAGGTACTGGCTGAAATATTATGATTTTAATAATATATACAATACAATTTTGGTTTATTAATTTACTATAAGCCATTGCGCAGTTGAAGGTTTTTCCCACGATTCATCTACAGAAGTAATATACTCTCCGTCTGGATTACAACTATAATTGTTTGAATCAATTCCGTGGGTTACTAAACGAGAAGAATAATGATTGAGAGCATAAAAATCAGCAGTACCTAAAAAACAAATAGCATTTTTTTAAATTTTAACTATGTGACTGGAACGTGATAAATAATCTATAAATGTTATCTATTAAACATGCACCTTTAATTAATTTAATTTCATCTTCTGTAAAAGTTGGTAATTTAGACCACGGTCTACCTTCTTCTTTACTTTTTTTGTCAACCCATTTTCTCATTATTGGTGGATAGTCTCCTTTATAAATTGGATGACTGAACAGCCCTCTCTAAGGACATGTAACAATATACTTATAATTAGTTACCTAATATATCTTGAAAATTAAAATAATGAAATGAGCAAAATATTCTTGTTACCTCAAATTGATTGGCTCTTTCAGCAGTATTTATATCATCAATTGACTCAGCATTTTTTGGAAAGTAAAATACTCCATTTATTGAAATACTTATTTTTCCTATAAACAAATTGGGATTTAAGATTTCAATAATACAAACTCAATTTCCATTTGATAAATACCTTGTTGAGTAGGTTTGAAAATCTCTTCATATAATCTATAGGCTTTTCCATGTGCAATAAGTTGTGTATGAGCTGCCAAATAGTATCCAGTGTTATTTAAGTCTAAGAATGGGGCACCTACTTTAATGGAATAACCTTTACAAACTTCCATTGGTTCATTAATCGTGATCCACCATTTTACCTATAATGAGTATAGAATGTAAAGATAGTTCATATTCTTTACAAATTATTTAATTTACTCTGTCTCCGTAGTAAGTAAATAACACTCGTGCATATTCTTTAAAATAATCTGACATAATTGGATTAACCCAACCTCCAAGATCCTGTAGGTGTTGTGGTAGATCCCAATGATAAATTGTAACCTAAAGATAATTGTAATTAGGTACCATAGCCCTTACTGTATTCCTTATTTTTAATAATAATAAAAGCTTACCAATGGAACAATATCGTTTTTAATAAGTTCATCAATAAGACGATTATAATATGCTATTCCTTTTTCATTTAATTTATTCATTTCTCCGGTTGGTGATATTCGAGCCCATGATATAGAAAAACGATAAAATTTCGACTAAATATTGAAAAAATATGTATTATATAAAATTATTTTTTGTAAATCAAGTAAAAAAAAAGTTACATTTAAATTTTTTATAAGTTCTACATCTTCTTTATACTTGTGGTAAGAATCACAGGCAATATCACCATTAGTTTTATCCATTATAGATTTTGGATTATTATGAACTAAATGATCCCAAATATTTTCTCCTTTTCCTAAAGAATTTAAACAATAACAATTTTTTATTACTGAAATACATAATTATTCAAGGTGTACATTGATACATAATTTTACATGAAATGTAAATTGTAACAGTATTTTTTTAAAATATTATTAGATTAATGAATAATTTGTTTTGAATTTCTATAAATGAGTAATAAGATAATTGGATATATTATATGATGTATGTTAAACTTATGTTATATATATATATATATATATATATATATATATGTGTGTGTGTATACTTATGTTTTGTTCATTTAAATATAGTTTATATACCATCTTCATTCCAGCCTCCTTCTATTTGATATGCGGCAGTTGAAACGCCAAACATAAAATCCTTTGGAAATTGATAATCCATTGTATACGATCGATGAAGAATTATAAATCTAATAAAAGTAATACAACAACTAATTTCAACCAAATGTTAAAGTATTAGTATACTTACTGATTGAGTATTATTTAGTTCAACGAATAAGTTGATATCAATTGATTTCTTCAAAATGAAAAAAATATATAATTAAATAGGTTTTATTGGTAAGTAATTGAAATAAGTATAAATAACCCATAGCCATACGGGTAACTTATATTTATATGGTTATTTTGCTTAAAAACAAAACACTTATAACGAACAGCTATCAAATACTATAAATTAAAAAAGAGTATGAATAAACATATTAGGTAGATGAAAAAAAAAGGAAAATTAATTATTATTGGTAGGTAATTAAGAAAAGTATAAATATGCCATAGCCATACAGGTAACTTATAGGTATTTATAATTTATATGGTTATAATTTTGCTTAAAAACAAAACACCTAACAGCTATCAAATACTATAAATAATAAAGAAGTATGAATAAACATATTAAGTAGATGCTCTTTTATGTTAGTAGGTATGCCGTGATCTTAGATTTAAAAATATTTTATTTCAATTTAATTATAATCATTTTTCATGAATAATCTTTGATACCAAATATATAGGTAACAAAAACAACACTATAATTCAGTGGCGTGCAGTCAGGACAAGCTAGGTAAGCGGTGCATGCCCAGCCAAAAAGGAAAAAATAAAAAGATTAATATTTCTGATGTTAAATGACAATTTGCTTACATTAAAATAATAAATATTTATTTATTTTTATTTTTGTGTTCTATTTAAAAAAAAAATTATCAGATTTTGAAAGAAATTAATGATTTTTTTTCGTATAGGCAATTTCTCTACAGAAACGTTAGTATTTCAGATTGCCTTTCCCATATCGTTATTTATAGGAATGACCAGTTACGGTAGAAGGGGATATATACACTTTTTACGCGATGGTTGAAAGCCCTATGCCGAGTGCTTATTGATATTTTTAAAAACGGAATTCCAATATTCTTAGGATGAAAATCGGATTATTTTTATTATCAATATACTTATTATAAGTTATAACTGTACTATATTATTACACTATACTATACTAATAAATTATAATATATGAATTATTTTGTCGTCAACCGTCAAAGTGTCCACAAGTCTTGTGTTAATTATGTGTTGAACAAAAGTTTTTAATGTATGTATATTAAATTGCTATTGCATAATTTTATAGAATTGGTATAGATAATAATTATTTAAGTAAATAAAATTATTATAATTAAGAGGAATCAAATTATATTCGTCTTGTTTATATTTAGTTTTATATACAATGAATACTGATTCAAATAATTGCTTGATCGAGCATATTTTGGAAAATGAATTTCATTTGAAACATTTTGATGAAAAATTAACAATTGTAAAAAATGGTCGACCATGTCCAGAAATTCCAAAATTGACATCTAATCACAGAGAAAAAAACAAAGTTTACATTCGTCATTTTAATATTTCTAATTATTTAAATACTTCATGGTTGACCGGTAGTGCAAAATTAAATAAACTTTTCTGTTGGCCTTGTGTTTTATTCACCAGGGAAAAAAATGTTTAGTCTCATAGTGGTTTTGTTAATTTAAATAATTTTACAAATGGTATTCAAAAACATGAACGATCTCAAACACATATTTCTTCTGTTTTAAAATTAAAAATGTTTGGAAAATCTAGAATTGATTTGCAGCTTGATGAACAAAGACGTTCAGATGTAATACGCCATAATGAATTGTTAAAAAAAAATAGAGACGTTGTAAAACGTTTTATTGATTGTGTTTGTTTTTTGGCGATCCACGAATTACCATTTCGTAATCACAATGAGAGGGTTAATTCTTTCAATCACTATGCTCAGCATATAAAGCCGGTCTGAACGTCTAGTAAATTGCGGCGGATTGTGATTTGTGATTTATACCTACTTTAAATCATAATATCATTGAGTATACGTATATACTATATATTACTCAATGATAATAATATGTATGTACGAGTATGCTATACACGTGAATGCGCAAAACACGAGATCTTAATGTTTTATACTTGTTTGAAAGAAACAAATACTGATAACATCGAAACGATACCTACGGTTTTATATCATTGTTATTATTAAATATAAATCATATGTTACAGACATTTTTTTCGCTGATCGTAACTATTTATTGCGAATTGCGTTGATGTTAACAATTTTATAATAAGTAGGTATATCTAAACTTATTGTAATTACTAATTACGTACGTATTTATATTTGTTTTTTATAACT